GTGAATTGGAGAATGTAAACTTCTCCAAAAATAAGAGGCCCAAGATGTTGAGAGCCAGACAGTTGAGATAGGAAAGTAGGCACCATCATATATGGCAGAGGTCCCCAACTCCCAGTCCACAGACTAGTACCGGGCTGCGGCATGCCAGCAACTGGTCTGCACAAACAAGCAAAGCCCCATCTGCAAGATGCAGGCAGCACACAAAACCATGCACCCTCAGGTCCGTGGAAAATCCTCTCCCCATGGAATTGGTCCCTGGTGCCCAAAAGGTTGGGGACCTCTGATATATGGCTTTTGGATGAAAGCAAGGTGATGGAAAGGAAGAACTGCATTGTAGAAAAACTTGCATTGCACAGGAACACAACCATTTTCTGTGTGTCTGAAAGACAAGCATGAAAAAATTTGTAAAACATACCACATTCCAGTGCCTAAATTTACAGAAAAACATATGCTGAAGATTTTCAGATCTCAGAAGAGGTTTCCATAGAAGTAACTATTTTATGAACATCTTACAGAGACAGTTGCCTCTCTGAACAACTTAATAAGGATTGTCATAGACACTGGTCACAAATTGCTGAGTTATCTGTTGGGAAATAAAAAATTAGAAAGGAAAAGAAATAGAAATGAGTAACTTCAATAAGTGGGCATGACTCACTAACTTTAAATGATATAAGTGGCACAGCAATTTCAGTATGTCTAGAAATATATAATAAAAAGTAAAATAAATTCTGTATTTCCCACTGGTTAAGGCAAAGCCATGAAATTGATATTCAGAGATAAATAGCTTAAGATATATATATCCATCCTAATCTTTGTGTATAAGTCTTGCTGTATTTGACTTGATTAATAGTTCTGATAACACTGGAGCCTCTTCCTAATAGTATATCTATTTACTGCTAACAAGAAACTAATATCTATCAAAATGGTATTTTTATGCATCAGCTCCTTCATCCGACTTAGTGACTAGTAATTAAATAAGAATAAATGGAGATATAAAGTGTAAAAAAAGAAACTAATTGCTGAAATTCACAATGGTAGTGCTTTCTACAAACAAGCATGTTTTTTTGGCATTCCATTTATTTGGTGAGGGTAGGAAACGGCGCAAAGGAACAAAATTGACAAATGCCACTATTTGATCCACCAAAGAAGGTCAGAAAGGGAAAGCATGCAAAGCCAACAATATCAAAGAAGTTTCCATGTTCTACAGATGTGTCAGCAGGAAAGATATGATTTGAAACATCAGTGTGTTTTCCAAAGTGCAGAATGCCAAAAGTAAAAACATTCCTTGTATGCATTGGCCTTTAAAAATCAAAGTTCAGTCAATGAATACCTCTGGGGCAAAATTTAGATTGCTCCCATTGTAAATGTCATTGCAATCAGGTTTGGGCAATGTTGACCAAAGCATGAGAAATGCAACCAATCGTTGTCAACTGACTAGGATTTGAGATAAAGACGTGCCAAGGTCATGCATCCCAACCTAAGCAAAATTACATCTCTCAAGTTTAGTTTCACACAGCTTCTCATTTTTCAGACTCAGGTTTTGTTCCAATTCTGCACTGCTTTGAGTATTTTTTAAAAAGTCTGCCATGAAAAATTATACTCATTTTAATCTACTTTGCATACTGTACTTCTCCTTTGATCCTCCCAGAACTTATATACTTATCAACACATTGGCTGGACTCAAAAGAGCAGCACAATTTCCATTGAATTCCCAATCTTCCCTTTTTAGGGAAAGTTGTAGAGAATATGATCAGCTTGCAGTTCCCAAGGGCCTTGGAGAAAGCAGATTATCTGGACCTTGGTGATTCAGACCTTATTATAGTACTGAGATACTGCTGACCTACATCTCTAGGAAATTTGGCAGTTGTGAGATGAAGGCATCTGTAATGGTGATGTGGGAATGATCTTAGGAGGCAGAAAAAAGAGCCACTGACTATATAACAATCAGATAAGAGGCAACTGAGCACACAGAAGGAATGGGGCCATGGCAAACATAGTAAAAAATGAGAGAAGTCTGCTTGTATAGGGCGGAGGGATTGCCTAAAGGCCAGATAGACTGGTGTGGGCCCTCTGGGGATTTGGGAGCCCACTAACACTCTAGGCCAAGCTATTAGATGTAAACAGCTTATCGGAAGCCTCTTAATGAACAAAACTGAACTTAAGAAACATGTGTCTTGACATGTTTCTGTCTGGTCTATTGGCAAAGCTGAGAAAAGTCAGAAGACTACTCTTAAATACGCAACACTCCTCATTCCTACCAGACACTGTTTAAAGATTTAAAACTTATAACAATCCTTTTTGGAGTGCTAATTTCAAAATCTGTTTATCTCTCTTTTTTTCTCTCCTTTTATTTCTATTTTTACCCAGGCTAAATTCCCTACAGTATATCTGTTACTACATTTTATAAACCAAAGGTTCATCAGAAATTATACAGACTAAATGATTTCTATCATTCCACAATTAATTTAGAGTTCAGAATTAATGAGTTTTAACTTGTTCAAAATGTGCTTGGCTATTTCAATTACAGTTTTAGATCCCATCTTCCTAATTTAGAAATAAAAGGCTCATAACTTTGAAGAACTGGCATTGAATCTTTTAGAGCCATCTAAAATTTTTGACTTATCTCCAAATTATATAATATTATCACAGAACAAACACATCCACATCCAACTGGTTTGAAAATGTCTTTGGAAAAAAAATTCCAACAAAAAATTAAGAATTAAAAGTAGGATGAAATGTAGAGATGTAAACTAGGGTCATCATCCTTAGCCCAAATGAAAGAGAAATATATACTATTTCATATATAGTACAAGTAGTCTTGACTTATGACAACTGAACCCAAAATGTCAATGTTCGAGATGGAACGGTCACTAATATAGAATTTTCTAGAAATATCTGCTCAGACATATAAATTTAACTCCATTAATTGTAGGGTTTAAAAGGGCTTTGAAACTCATTTAGTTTGACATACTGAGATGATAATTTCCGAGGTGATTTTTTTTTTGGGTGCTATTTAGTGTTCTCTTGTTTAAAGTGTTTTATATAAGGCTGTTTTTATGCGCATACTTTTGGATCATGATATAATGTTTTCATGATTACTGAACTGCATACGCCAAAGCTAAAACCTCCAACTGAAAAAGAATTAGTTCTTCACAAATTGGGGAGGACGAGAAACAATGGTTGGAAACTGATCAAAGAGAGAAGCAACCTGGAATTAAGGAGAAACTTCCTGACAGCGTGGACAATCAACCAGTGGAACCGCTTACCCCCAGAAATCGTGGGTGCTCCATCACTGCAAATTTTTAAGGAGAGACTGGACATTCACCTGTCTGAGATGGTATAGGTTCTCCTGCTTGAGCTGGGGGCTGGACTAGAAGACCTCTCAGCTCTACTCTACTCTACTCTACTCTACTCTACTCTACTCTACTCTACTCTACTCTACTCTACTCTACTCTACTCTACTCTACTCTATTCTAGCAAAGGCTTAAATAAGCCTTAAGGAGGGAAAGGGAACCATCAGAACTAATGCTCTTTTTCAAGTACTGTGTATTCAACTTTTCTTTTTAAAAGTGAACACTTCATATTATCCTTATTTTTATACTATTATCACTCCTCCCAACATCTGTCTTTCCAGAGCTCCAACAAGTAAATTGAATTATCATGCGGACAGAAGTACAAGCAGATGTTCCAATCAGAGCTTCAGAACTAACAGTAATAACTGAAATTTATGAGTCAATAATCCTTCTTAAATAGCAGTCAGTACTTCAAAGAACTGAGTTTCTTCATCTAGATTTTGCTGAAACTGCTCCAAGTGCTAACTAAGTGACCTTCCCTGTCAAAGCACTTTGGAAAGGAAATAAAACTAATTACAATCATGACTATCATTCTCTTATTTATGCATTAATGAGCAGGAGAAATTACACTGAAGTCACCTGTTAACATTCCAAACCACATTACACACGAAGGCGCTGCTTACAGTAGAAGACAAATAATGGTTTAAAATCCCCACAAGGCAGGGAGTGGGGAAGGTTACAAATTAAAAACTGCCTATTTTCATTCCAGAATTTTTCATTTTCAAGAAAATACTATTTCTGATCTCACCACTTTGATAAGGAAAGAATAGTGTGCTTCTAAAATTATGCACAGGAAAACATCCTAAAGAAAACACCAAGCATGAAGGCACTTGGTGTCAGAAATACTACATATGGAACAATAACAGACAATAAATGTGAACAGTTGCTGGAAAGATTGTTTGCCCTAAGTATAAGAAAAAGAATGGGCTAATAAAGTGAAGGTGATATAAGAAATGACAAGCTAATCAACAATTCCAACTGCACTTAAGCTTCTGTTTTCTACTAAGCTCCTTGATTTCATCTACCACCATAAACCTGTTTTATTTTCCTATTTGTCCTATTCTGTATAGAAAACAACTATTTTAGCGGTGGAAGTTTTTGAGACAATAGAAGCATGGAAAATTTATTAGGTGATCTTGAACTATGCAACAGAATATACCTAGTCTAAATTATATTCTATTAAATATTGTTTGAAATTTGATTGGCCTCAAACCTGCTGGCCTTTAAAAAGACCTAAAAACTTCTTCACTTAAGTGCTAGCCTGCTGTAACTATACAAATAGTATTCTAATTTCCAATACAGTATGTTTTATTTTGTTATGATTTATTATTTTATCACTTTCCTTTGTATTTGGTGTTTTAAACTTATGTTATCCATTCAGAATCATCTAACAGCCATATAAATTGAATTAATGAGCAAATAAATAAGTCTGACATGCAAAGCATTAATTTATACAGTACAATCCTCATATGCTGTTTACAAGGTTGAAAGGGGAAAAAAACCCATGAATGACAAACTGTATAAAACCTCTTGTTTCTTTTCAAAGATAAGAACACTGATAAATAACTGAAAGATATCTGGACTGACTTATCAGGGTTTGTCAACAATTCTTTGGGATTAAATATTAAATATTTCAAATAATCTTACTTTTGACGGTAGCTGTCCGGGTGCAGTTGTATAGGATAGCCAGTTCTCCAAACACTTTCCCAGGCCCCATAGTACACAGCTTTACTCCTTCTTTTGTAACCTCAACCTTTCCATCTGTCAACAAAGAACAGAGATTATTATCACAAGACTATCAGATATTCCATATGTTTTTCTTTATGAAAGCAAAAAGTTCCTATGACATCTAGAAATAAACATTTCACTGCTGAGGCACTGCTGTATTTAAGAGGTGTATCATCCATATTACGTATAGCTATCTCAGAAATGAATTTAAAATGGCATATTCATAGATTGGACACCTTTCGCTGCAGGTAGCATTAAGCAATAGTAAAACATATCAACTGTTGTGAGATTGGGTAGGAACTGTAATATAAAATTTTGAAAGGAATGTTTTATTCATTTTCAAGAAATATGAAAAGGGATATTATCAAAACAAAATGTTTTTCACTGCCTTTAAACAACTTAGTGAACGCATTTGCCACCTGACGAATGACAGCCCCACTACAGTCAAATTAGCAGAAGATTTCCTGAGTAAAATCAAGACACTCAGGGTAGAGGCTGATGAAGTGATGGTATCATTTGATGTCACCTCACTCTTCACCTCCATCCCTCAGGACTTAGCCATCTCTATCCTAAGGGATCAATTGACAAGTAAAAAGGGAGATCATTTCCAAGACTCCCTACAAACAGAAGATCTTATGAAACTGATAAAGATATGCCTTACAACTTACTTTACGTTTCAGGGTATCATTTACGAACAGATTAAAGGCACACCCATGGGTTCCCCATTTCCGGCATTATAGCTGAGACAGTACTCCAACAGCTAGAACATAAAGCTATGACCCTATACCAACCCAAGTTTTGGGTTCGGTATGTAGATGACACATTTGCGGTTATCAAAAGACAACATGTACCTGATTTTGTGGAAATACTGAACTCAAATTACCCTGATATAAAATTCACAGTGGAGGAGGAAAAACAAGATTTTTTAGCCTTTTTGGATGTACTAATCCACCGCCAACCAGATGGATCATTACACACCAAAGTTTACCGTAAGCCCACCCATACGGACAGGATCCTCCACTACAGGAGCAACCATCCAGTGGCCCACAAGATTAGCTGCATTAAAACATTATTCAAATGCATAGACTCCCACTGCAACACGGTCAAGTCCCAAACGGAGGAGAAGAAACATTTATTCCAGATCTGCTTACAAAATGGATATCCCATAAAATTTATAAAACGACATATTACGACACTCAGACCCCATAACAATCCACAGAGAGAAGAACCACCAACACATAAGACACGCATCTCCTTACCATATATAAATAACGTCTCCGAGGCAACTGCCAGGCTTCTAGCCCTCTACAACATAAAAGTGGCCCATAAACCCAACCAAACTCTACGTTCCAAAGTTATGCACCCCAAGGACCCACTTCCCACGATGGAAAGATCTGAGGTGATTTACAAAATTGACTGCAACAACTGTCAAAGCAACTATGTGGGTGAGACATCTAAACGATTGAAAACCCGTATCCACGAACATAAATTGGCCATAAAAAGGGGTGAACAACACTCCCAAATATGGACACACATGGCGGAATATGGGCACCAATTCGACTTTAATAACACACAGATCATATCTAGCGATACCAAAAAAGGGGGCAGACTATTAAAAGAAGCCTGGTTTTCAGATAACAACTCCATTAATCGCCATGTGGATTTTTGCCCCACACAGCAAGCACTGAGAAAATGGAACAAGAATCATCACTCCACTCACCATAAACAACTTAACCGACATAGATGAACTCGAGAAGATGATAAAGGGTTAAAAGACCACCAAACAGGAGACTTGCATGTCTTCCGACACCTCCTCAATAAACCCCCTGGATGGAAGAACGAAGACGACCGTGCCAGAAAGAGGTTGAGGGTGACTGACTATAACATTCTCAATAGGTTACGACGAACGTGGTAACTCCTTCTCGTCGGATCTGTCCTGAAACCAGGAATGGAATGCAGAGAATCTGCCTCAAGTGAGGACTATAACTGCCACCAACAGACAGAGCAACAGAGTTTGGTCAGCGCTAGAAACACCAAGACAGATAACAGAGAGAAAGGCACTGAGACAGTTAGCAAAAGAGTCAAAATAAATAATAGAGTCAAACAGGATGCAAACACCATAAAAACGATTGAAATGCAGACCAACCAGACAAGACTAAGGACTTGCTCCAAGAACCGAGCACAAATGCTAACGAACATTATTTAAATCATTCCTTTAACTGGCTTTTTAACCCTGAAGATATATATATATACAGGAAGTTTTTCCAGACAGACTGGTCTGATTGAGAACACCTGGACATTTTTAACTGCTATACTGCAGTTTTTACTTTTACAATATCTTTTACCATGCAGCTATTGTAAAAGTAAAAACTGCAGTATAGCAGTTAAAAATGTCCAGGTGTTCTCAATCAGACCAGTCTGTCTGGAAAAACTTCCTGTATATACTCCCTGGATTCTGCTGGCAAAGAGGGGAGGAGAGCCTGTGGCTTGGTGGTTGAATCACTGCCTAGTATGTAAACTGCCCAGGTTCGAATCCCATAAAGGGTATGGCTAACTGATGAAAGCAGAACAAGCTAGAAATGGCCATCTTAGTCTCCCAATTTAATTCTTTAACTCTTTGTCAGAAAAGAAATTTGGATATATATATATATATATATATATATATATATATATATATATATATATATATATATATACACACACACACACACACTAGCTGTACCCGGCCACGCGTTGCTGTGGCTCAGTCTGGTTAAATTTACGTCCAACAGATGGCGCTGTTTTTCAAAAAAAGCATGTTTTTACCTGTCACAGGTGTGACATCTATATAATATAATAGTAAGTATATAAAAACACGTGCGTATTCGAATGCAACGTTGTGTCAAAATTTCAAAGCAATCGGTGAAGAACTTTCAGAGATTTAAGATTTTGAACAAATGAACATTTACATTTTTATTTATATACTAGCTGTACCCGGCCACGCGTTGCTGTGGCTCAGTCTGGTTAAATGGAAAAGAAAGAAAAGAGAAAGCTCACGTTTGTGTCACAGGTGTGACATTTATATAATAGTAGGTATATAAAAACATGCGCGTATTCGAATGCAACGTTGTGTCAAAATTTCAAAGCAATCGGTGTAGAACTTTCGGAGATTTAAGATTTTGAACAAACGAACATTTACATTTACATGTTGGCCGGCTAGGCCCAGTAACAAGATCCATGAGTCGGGGCGTCAACATTACTTCATCTATAAAGGGGCCCTCCCACTAACCAACATACACCCTGATGACGTTGATAGATATTCAACGAAAGCTAGGTTTTTAAATATTTATTAAAACTTTTTGGTTTTAACTCTTCCTGGTGTTCTAGTGTCGTTGTACAGCTTTTAA